TTTTTTAGTTTTCAAGGAAATTTTATAAAAAACGTGATTCTATGGTGACATTGTATTTATTTTGTTCATTCATTTATTCAATCCAAACGTACAGAAAACTTCATCCGTTGACTTACACATACATATGTCAGTGTTTGGCCCCTTGGATAATATGCTCCCAGATAATCCAAACGCAATATTTTAACTCAGTCTCTATCACGGAATTCATGGAATATTCTGCTAATTAGCTGGGTGTGCGCATTTGTACAAAAGTAAGCAATTGCATGAAAATAAAGCCGCTAGAGAAACAAAGTAGAGTTTTGCAAATTGTTTTACGAATAAAAACATTTTGCAAATTAAATTAATTAACTGCGCATAATTGGAAATATTTACAAGTGGCATTGCGTGATTACTTAAAATATTTGAACATACAGCTTTATATGCAAAATTACCATTAAACACAACAACACAAATTTGGTGTTTTTTGGGAAAATTGCGCTATTTTCGGTGTTTTGGTGCTTTTTTAAATAAAAAAAAACTTGGCAATACTGATCACTAGATGTCCATTTCTTTATAAAAAACAATTAATTTTTCTAGACTAGAAAATCGACTAGCCAAAGCATTTACATTTTACTGTTGAGATGTCATTAACACAGGTCGATTTTGGTTGAACGACAAAAATCTAATAGAAAATCGACCCGTGTAAAGGCGCCTTAATCCAGCGAGCAATTATCATTAAAGTTAAAATGCCTTAGTTAAAATTAATAAAAAGTTATTTCATTCACAATTGGACAATTGTTACATCGGTGGGCAACGACCCAATTACAGAACTTTGGACAGAGCAATCTTTTTCGATCGGGTTCAAATCGGGCGATTGTAAGGGCCTATTCACGAATTCAAGTGTATTTGCAAAGGTGCTGTAGCTCACCAATGTAACAATCGTGTCGATAAAAACGTAAAATATAATCTATTTGAAGAGTAAATTTGTGGATGCAACAAAACGTAGCAGATTTTCAGTTTAGCGGAGTAGAGGACTAGGCTTCAAATTATTTCGACCAAACGGAACAAATCTACTCCTATCGGAGGAAAGTCCGAACGATGGTATTGTGTATATGAGGAAAATGTACGCTCTTTGTTTGGTGCACAAAGTCAGTATTACCGCAGCCGTACTGCGATGACCATGATGTCGGTGGGGATATAAATAATTTTTTCCCAACTTTTCATACCCTTCCTCCCGTAAACTGTTTTTCCCTTTCTCCAGCCCGCGCTCGCACTTTCGCTGCTGCGCGGGCAAAAAAGTGCCCATGTCTGCATATAACGAAAACCGAAATAATGGATACATGCACAGTTTCGGTTCAAATCCGAAATAATGCATTTGATAAAAAAGAAGTAATGCATATATGCACAGTTTCGTGTGAAAACCGAAATAATGGATACATGCACAGTTTCGGGTCAAATCCGAAATAATGCATTTGATAAAAAAGAAGTAATGCATATATGCACAGTTTCGTGTGAAAACCGAAATAATGCATATAACAGAAACTGAAATAGTGCATATATGCACAATTTCGACTCAAAACCGAAATAAATGAGAAAAAAGCGAAATTATGCATATGCATACTTTCGGCTATAATCGGAAATAATGCATATAAAAAAAAAACGGAGTAATGCATACATGCACAGTTTCGGTTGAAAACCGAAATAATGCATATGAGAAAATACCGAAATTATGCATATGCACACTTTTGTTTTAAACGCGAAATAATGCATATGAAAAAAAACGAAGTAATGCATACATGCACAGTTTCGGTTCAAAACCGAAATAATGCATATCACATAAACCAAAATAAAGCATATATGCACAGTTTCGGGTAAAACCGTCTAATATCAATATATTAATTATATTATTATGATTCCTTGACCCTTAAAATCGTTACTTACACTTGTTCAATTATTTTAAAAAGAATACAAAATTTTTTTTACAAATACCAGTTTCTGAATAAACCACGTGCTCTACAGAAAATCTAGGGTGACCCGAAAATTCTGACTTCAGATTCGGATTCAGCGGGCTCAAAAGCTTTGGAAACCGTGGAGAAACAGCGGGGGATTTTTTGCCTGTTGTACAGTGTAATTAAGGATTTGTAGGATAAAAATTACTAATTACACTTATCTTAGGATTATTTTGCGTAAAATATTTAGTTGTATTCAGTTACCATAAGTCCACAAAAAATTTTTTCAGAAAAAGACAAGAACGGAATTCATTTCGCTGGAACATATTTAGGTCGACGCGTTCGGATTTGCACTTCGTCCTTTTAGACCGGATCTTGATTTCGAATAACTGCGAATTCTGAAAAGTTTTGATGCTTTTTCAATTTCAATTAAATAAATAACTTAAAAATAAAAAAGGAATGCGGTAAATTGTTCTAAGGACACAATCGTTCTCGCCGAAGCCGATTAGAGGGCATTATTGTCCAGTTTCATAGTCCTTCAAGGGATCTCCCGGGAACTTTAAAATTAAAGGATATGCAACTTAGTAATTTTGGGTACCCAGCTTCGATGAAAGCTGTTGGCTCTCAAATACACTTTTCGGCATTCGGTTTCTTATATTTTTAAGTTATTTTTACAGATGAAGAAAAAAGTAGGAAAAAAACTAGCGATTGATCGGGGTTTTTGATAGATCTTTGATAAATAGTATTCAATCGTTACGTAATTTTTACCAAATTAAAGGTCAGACATTGAACATTTCTGTAAATAAAATCCAGAATTACAACTTTACGACTCACCGTGTTTCGTCCTTCGAAAATCAAAATGGAGTACATGCGAGCAAATTATTTTTGCTTTAATTGCTCAAAGATAACTGTAGTTACATATATTTCAAGGAACCAAACTTTGACAAACTTTTCGTAAACAAAAATACCAATATTTAAAAATATTCAACATAAATAACAAAATAGACCGATTTAAAATTTTCTAAAAGAAGGCCCTATTAAAAGCAATTTAGTTAAATTTAGTCTTCAATGATAGAAATGGCCGTCTTCAATGTTCAAGAGGTTTTTTTCTTGAAATATGTCTTCACTAAAACACAATTACCGAAGAAACGGGTAGAACGACTGAAAGCGTGGAGAAAAAAAACGTATCACAACATTGACTGTTTTCAGGTTGACATATGTCAACAGGAAAGCAGCGGAGGAAGTTTTCATGACAACTATTCAATAGATCAGTTATTTAGCTTTAGGAATAGTATCTTTTACTGGACTTTTGCAACAATTGCTAAATTTTACTTTTGACCGGTTTTTTGCATAAATATTGCTATGTGCGACGGCAAGAAATCCGTCCCCGCCGCAATTCTGTACCGTGTCATGCCATTCTTGTGTTCTAATTTTGACAGCGGCTACCTGCCAGCCCTTACCCACTATGCGCTGCAATTCTATTTACCACATTACTCTGCGCTAGCCTTGTTGTTGCAGCTCATATATATACATAAGGGTACATGTAAAAAAGTAGCATTTACATATGCAAATGCATATCGTGTAAGAGCCCTGTTAGCTCTGCCTCTCAGTCGTTCTCGTCAAGTTCAACTAATGGGAGGCCAAAGAAGCTTGCCACTTCGCCTGGATTAGCCCACACAGGGAGGGGCGTTAGGAGATGAGGTTTCGCAGACATACGAAGAGGAGCTTTAAATCATGGGGTGAGTCACCGCTTGAAGAATACGTGTTGGGAACGTTTGGGTCAATCCTGCTCAGATAAGAGTTTACCTGCTAACGTCTGTTAACTCACTGACTTTGAATAGAACTGGGTTTTCGACGCCATCGTTCATAATAACCAACTCCCTAATGCACTTTTCGACAATTTTTACTGACTCATTCGTTGATTTTGCCAATGATTTAATTTGTATTCCTTGGTTTTTACAGACCCAAAAGGCGTTGTGTAACATTGGCGATGTCTCAAGTACAGATGTTTCTGAAGATGAAATGTGTGAAACTAATGCATCCCGACCAGAACAATCATCAGGATCAGATTCTAATACGATGCCTAATGGACTACAAGAATCTACATCCGTATCATCTCAAGTGCCATTGCCTGATATCCCACAAGTCCTGACTGAAAGTAATCGCCGATCTTAAAAATAATCATGTTATGATAAAACTATATAAAAATGAATAATTTTTTAGTAATAGAGGAGGACAAGACTACGCCATGATTTCGTAAACGTAGTATGAATGTGTATAAACAAGCTAAGTATTTGTATGTAGTTCTGAATATGCTCTTGGTGGAATTATTACAATATGATGTATGACGACACCATTTTCGAACCGTCAGTCACACGCGTACGAGTAAATTATATTTTATCAGAAAAATTAAGTAGATTTAGAACAAACTAATGAAATACAAGCAAAACAATTGTCTACTTAATTAATTAATATTTTACTTCCACACTTTTGCTAGTAATTGTAAAGCTTTTCCGATTTGAGGGGCGACCGCTAAAAGAAAAGAAATTTTTCAGATAATGCTTGGACCAGGGATTTATATCTATTTTATTTAATTATTTGTTACAGTCTTGGAACTTAAAAGTACAGATCGATATTTGTAATATATAACAAAGTATGCGTATATGTAAGTTAAAATTTCAATTACAGCTGTTTATGTTTCTAAAACTATCAAATAACCTATATAAATGTATATTGTCTAACTAGTTGGGTAGCTGGCGAGACATAGTCTCCAGTCTACCTTTATATATGTACTATGTGCAGCGGGCGGAAAGACCCTGTTTCCGCTCCGCGTTGCTAACGAGTTGATCGTCATGGTCGGAAAGGCCGAGTTTCCGATCCATGTTCCCGTCGTCATTAATGTGCAAACCCTGACGCTAAATTCCGCTCCGTGTTATGGGCGGGCTGTTGGACATAGGCGGAAAGACAGAGTTTCCGATCCATACTCACAGCGCCTTTCGTGTGCTAGTTCATTTGCTTGGTCGGATGGAAAGGCCTGGTTTCCATTCCGTGCTTTCCTACCTATTAGCCAGAGTTTTAGAGTGATAAAATAGTTGTCTTTTAAAAACAGCATCGACAGGATCGAATCCTATATCACTAGTCCACGGCGGCCGCCTATTAAATATCAACGAAACAATTGAATATAAAACCAAAATACTAAGGATGACCTTGAGTTTTATGGGCATTCGAAGGAGTCTAACTATTAATCGAATAAACATCGCTATTGAGCTTTCCTTAAAGATTTATCGCGTCCACACAACCTGATTTGTAGTCTCTTTTGTAAATACATTTCACTTCATCTGAACAGGTTCAGCATGATCTGCTAGATTATCCGGAAGCCAGTATATTTTTCAGGTTTCATAAATTGTACATTTTAGAAGCAGCGTTGCCACATTGGTATTAAAAAAATATAATTGATGGGATGGGAGTTTCTATTATTTTTAATGGTTCTTAGTCTTTTCAGATGATCCTAAATAGTATATTTTTGGAGTCTTAAAATGTGTAATTATTATGATTAGAAGGGCGTCCCATTGTATTAAAAACACACGCAGGTTTATGGTATAAGTGAAACAATTAATGTATGTACATTAGCGTGGGCCGAAAATTCGCTTTTTTAGAATTTCGCTTGGTAATAGCAAAAATATGGTTCACTATGCTCTAAAAACAATCTGTGTGAAATATGACAATTTTTGGTCAATATCTTAGGCTCGCCCAAGTCCATCAAAGTTCAAGTACTAAAATGGCGACTCACCGATTTATTGCTGTGGTGTCAAATCGGCAACATCATTTCTTTCATGTCAACTTTGGAATAAATAAGTTATCAAATATTCCCAAACTCATAAATTTCGCGTCAACAGTATTTTCCAAAATCGTCTAATTTATACCAAAGACAGGATTGAAAAAATAGTACGCCCCATAGCGAAAGAAAGAATTAATGCCGTTTCTAAATTCCAATTTTTATTAAAAACAATAAAATTATTCCAAATATCGCCTGGAGCAATATTACCGGCAATAAATTTGTTTCCGATGGCGAAACGTTTTCTTATTGCCGGCAACAAAATTTGTTTGGTGGCTTCTGCTTGTTGGCACATCTTGTTACATATGTATGTATGTATGTACATTAGACTGCATATCCAAAAAAAGGTGCTGTTTTTGCGCCGGAACTACAAAATTTATATTTGAAGACTTCCACCAAAATATTTCGGAAAAATATTAAGATTTATGTGCGTGAGCTAAACCGATTTGAAAATTCCTCCAAAAGTGTAGTTTTTTATGAAAAAACATAGTTTCTTAAAGGATTTTTTGATAAAAATCCCCTCGGACGACAAAACAGGTTAAGCGTAAAAAATTTGCATAAAAATATTCAGNTATGTACATTAGACTGCATATCCAAAAAAAGGTGCTGTTTTTGCGCCGGAACTACAAAATTTATATTTGAAGACTTCCACCAAAATATTTCGGAAAAATATTAAGATTTATGTGCGTGAGCATAAAAATATTCACAAAATTTTCAACGGAATGATAGTAATGAGATGTTTGATGCTGTATTTTAACGTCTTTCAAGGATTGGTTTAAGAAAAACTTAAATAACTAGACCAAAACTATATCGATTTAGATTTATGAGGTATCAGTGGAAAGGTATTTTCTCACCCTTTTTTATTTCTTTTCTAAAAACTCGTGTCCCAATTTTTAATTTTATTCAAATATCAACACATCATAATTAAACTTGGAATGACACTCGTTCATACTTTGAATTATATTATGCAAACAAATTTCTTAAACCAATCTTTGAAAAAATATTAGGATTTTGTTGAAAAATTTTTATTAATTAATTTTATGCAATTTTTTTTTTAATTTTAAACTGTTTTGAATTGTGACGTAATTTTTTTACAAAAAATACTTTAAAAAACATATTTTATTCATAAAAAACTCAAGGAGGTATTTTCAAATCGGTCCAGCTCACGTAAATCTAAATCTTAATGTTTTTTCAAATTATTGTTGCTTTTCCACAATAAAAATTTTCATTTAAAACGGCCTCGAGCTCAATATAAATTGTTGAATATAATTGTTATAAAGGCCAAAAAAAAAACAAAAACAAATAACTTAAGGACGAGCACACCTAAAAGTTAAACATTCTAAAAATAGAATTATTAGCAAAAAACCAACAATACCAACAACCACATGATCAAGTGAATTGCAGCGGAATAGCTGCGCTTGATTGTGTTGGCATAACAAAAATGAAAATAGTGGAAAAAAGCAAACGATAATTTACAAGGCGTACTTAGCACGGTGCATAGGCAACTGGCTGAGTCAGTGGGATCGTCGGTTCGAATCCTACTGAAAGAAGTCTGATGAGGAAATGTGGTGATTTCCGAAATAGCTATCACTTCTACCATTTTTTCAAATTATTGTTGCTTTTCCACAATAAAAATTTTCATTTAAAACGGCCTCGAGCTCAATATAAATTGTTGAATATAGTTTTTCCGAAATGTTTTAGTGCAAGTCTTAAAATATAATAGATTTTATAATTCCAAAGGAAAAACAGTATCGACTTTTTTTTTATGGGGAGTGATACAGTCTAATGTACATATGTATACTTATATACTTACATACGATTCAGTTTCTCCAAAACCTCTGAAATTGAGGAGGCCTGGTTTCCATTCCGTGGTTTCCTACCTATTAGCCAGAGTTTTAGAGTGATAAAATAGTTGTCTTTTAAAAACAGCATCGACAGGATCGAATCCTTTATCACTAGTCCACGGCGGCCGCCTATGAAATATCAACGAAACAATTGAATATAAAACCAAAATACTAAGGATGACCTTTAGTTTTATGGGCATTCGAAGGAGTCTAACTATTAATCGAATAAACATCGCTATTGAGCTTTCTTTAAAGATTTATCGCGTCCACACAACCTGATTTGCAGTCTCCTTTGTAAATACATTTCACTTCATCTGAACAGGTTCAGCATGATCTGCTAGATTATCCGGAAGCCAGTATATTTTTCAGGTTTCATAAATTGCACATTTTAGAAGCAGCGTTGCCACATTGGTATTAAAAAAATATAATTGATGGGATGGGAGTTTCTATTATTTTTAATGGTTCTTAGTCTTTTCAGATGATCCTAAATAGTATATTTTTGGAGTCTTAAAATGTGTAATTATTATGATTAGAAGGGCGTCCCATTGTATTAAAAACACACGCAGGTTTATGGTATAAGTGAAACAATTAATGTATCTACATTAGCGTGGGCCGAAAATTCGCTTTTTTAGAATTTCGCTTGGTAATAGCAAAAATATAGTTCACTATGCTCTAAAAACAATCTGTGTGAAATATGACAATTTTTGGTCAATATCTTAGGCTCGCCCAAGTCCATCAAAGTTCAAGTACTAAAATGGCGACTCACCGATTTATTGCTGTGGTGTCAAATTTGCAACATCATTTCTTTCATGTCAACTTTGGAATAAATAAGTTGTCAAATATTCCCAAACTAATAAATTTCGCGTCAACAGTATTTTCCAAAATTGTCTAATTTATACCAAAGACAGGATTGAAAAAAAATAGTAAGCCCCATAGCGAAATATAGAATTAATGCCGTTTCTAAATTCCAATTTTTATTAAAAACAATAAAATTATTCCAAATATCGCCTGGAGCAATATTACCGGCAATAAATTTGTTTCCGATGGCGAAACGTTTTCTTATTGCCGGCAACAAAATTAGTTTGGTGGCTTCTGCTTGTTGGCACATCTTGTTACATATGTATGTATGTATGTACATTAGACTGCATAACCAAAAAAAGGTGCTGTTTTTGCGCCGGAACTACAAAATTTATATTTGAAGACTTCCACCAAAATATTTCGGAAAAATATTAAGATTTATGTGCGTGAGCATAAAAATATTCACAAAATTTTCAACGGAATGATAGTAATGAGATGTTTGATGCTGTATTTTAACGTCTTTCAAGGATTGGTTTAAGAAAAACTTAAATAACTAGACCAAAACTATATCGATTTAGACTTATGAGGTATCAGTGGAAATGTATTTTCTCACCCTTTTTTATTTCTTTTCAAAAAACTCGTGTCCCAATTTTTAATTTTATTCAAATATCAACACATCATAATTAAACTTGGAATGACACTCGTTCATACTTTGAATTATATTATGCAAACAAATTTCTTAAACCAATCTTTGAAAAAATATTAGGATTTTGTTGAAAAATTTTTATTAATTATTTTTATGCAATTTTTTTTTTTAATTTTAAACTGTTTTGAATTGTGACGTAATTTTTTTACAAAAAATACTTTAAAAAACATATTTTATTCAAAAAAACTCAAGGAGGTATTTTCAAATCGGTCCAGCTCACGTAAATATAAATCTTAATGTTTTTTCAAATTATTGTTGCTTTTCCACAATAAAAATTTTCA